CTGATGGCACTATCGAACGGTACAAGGCACGCCTCATTGCCAAAGGTTACAGTCAAATTGAAGGTGTTGATTACCGCGAAACCTTTGCTCCGGTGGCTAAGTTAACCACAGTTCGCGTGTTTCTTCTTGTTGCCGTTGTGCAAGGTTGGTACCTCCATCAACTGGATGTGAACAATGCCTTCTTAAATGGTGATCTCGAAGAAGATGTCTACATGACCTTGCCTCCTGGTTTCGGACGAAAGGGGGAGACTCGAGTTTGCAAGTTAAATAAATTTATGTACGGTTTAAAGCAAGCTTCGAGGAAATGGTTCATTAAGTTATCCAATGCTCTCAAGGCCGCTGGATTTCATCAATCATGGTCCGACTATTCATTATTCGTCCGAAGTCGTCATGGTAACTTCATTGCTTTATTAGTCTATGTCGATGATGTGATATTAGCAGGGAATAATTTGCATGAAATTGAAGAAACCAAGCAGTTTCTCTCTCAACGTTTCAAGCTGAAAGACTTGGGGCAACTCAAATATTTCTTGGGAATAGAAGTTGCATGTTCAAAGCGTGGAATTACTCTATGTCAACGAAAATATGCACTAGAAATATTGGATGATGTTGGGTTTCTAGGAGTTAAGCCTTCACGGTTTCCTGTGGATCAAAATTTGTCTCTCACACAAATGGAAGGAAAGGTGTTGAATGATCCTTCATCATATAGACGGCTTGTGGGCAGGTTGATATACTTGACCATAACAAGGCTTGACTTGGCTTATGCTGTTCACATGCTAAGTCAGTTCATGGAGAAACCTCGGCAACCACATTTTGAGGCTGCACACAAGGTCCTCAAGTACATTAAACAAGCACCTGGACAAGGAATTTTTCTTCCTTCCACAAGTTCATTGCAATTACAAGCATTTTGTGATGCTGATTGGGCTAGATGTAGAGATACTAGAAGGTCGATAACGAGGTACTGTATTTTGCTTGGTCAAGCACCTATTTCCTAGAAAACTAAGAAACAAACAACTATATCCTGTTCTAGTGTAGAGGCTGAATACCGTTCTATGGCCATCACATGCTGTGAAATCATATGGCTGAAGAATATTTTGAAGGATCTAAGAGTGAATCATCCATGACCAGTCAAGGTATTTTGTGATAATCAAGCGGCATTACACATCGCTTCCAATCCTGTTTTTCATGAACAAACGAAGCATATAGAGATTGATTGTCACCTAGTACGAGAAAAGATTCAAGAAGGAATGATACGCACGGCTTACATAAGGACAAGTGATCAACTAGCTGATATATTCACCAAGCCATTGAGTTCAACGCAGTTCGAAGTCTTACTTAGCAAGTTGGGTGTCATTAACATACACTCCAACTTGAGGGGGAGTGTTAAGGAAGATATCTCTATTAATTAGTCAATATTGTAAATTGATATTGTAGTTATTTACTTCCTTATTTAGCTTCTGATCAAGCCTTGTTTATAGGCGATAGTTTAGGATCCTATTGATTGTATATCATTGTATAAGGCAGTAAACCTGTTTTGAATGATATATCGAAAATCATAATCCCTTTCTATGCTTCTTATGAGTAACTTCACTCAAAAAGCCATTTTTCCATATCTCAGAAAATTGAAATTTCAGACAGTATTGCACAGACACACAAACCTGCATATGTTTAACCATAAAGCAAGCATATGCCTAACAAAATTACCCAAATGAAAGATCGTACGTTTTACAACTTTTGGGGGCATGTGGCTAGGTCATGGTGCAGGTGGAGCGTGCTGGAACCCAGTCCTTCAAAATAAATATACGAAATTGGACGTCAAATTATAAACAAAGATGAGCAAAAAAATTGTGTACTCAATTACACTTACACAAGTCACACTAAAACTAAGATTATTCATCTATACTTTCAAATAATTTATAGTATTCTCGAGTATTGAATGCTCCGTCACGTAGAGCTTTTAAATTTAATCCAATAATTGTAAAAAATAATGAACAGTCTTTAGATTACATCTAAAGAGTTTAAGTGACAGATTATTCAGTATTCTTAACTTTAGGGAGTGTTCTTAACTTTAGGGTTTAGGGTAACCCTAACCCTATACTTTTGCTCAGTTTTATTTTAAGACCACACGTGTTAAGAGTCACAAAACTCTTAAAATACGCAATAAAAATTGATAGCCATTAAACTTTTAGAAAATCAAAGTAAAAAGTCAAATTATTACCTGTCATAGAATTGTAATCAAAACATAAATCAGCAGCAATTTGATCTGAAAAAGACCTGAAAAATTTACAACAAACAAATTTAACCAAATGTTTAAAATTGTAAGATATTATCCACACTAATGACCGGAGCAATCTAGCGAAGATCACAAAAAGCGACCGTTTTCGTTACCTAGGATCTATCTTGCAAGAGAACGGAGAATTAGATGGAGATCTCAACCATAGAATACGAGCTGGATGGAAAGAGTGCATCCGGCGTGTTGTGTGACCGTCGTAGGCCATTGAAGCTCAAGGGAAAATTTTATAGGACGGCAATAAGGCCAGCGATGTTGTATGGCAGAGAATGTTGGGTGGTGAAGCATCAACACGTACACAAAATGGGTGTAGCGGAGATGAGGATGCTTCGTGGGATGTGTGGGCACACGAGAAAGGATAAGATTGGGAATGAGGATATCCGAGGTAAAGTAGGAGTAGCCGAAATTGTAGGAAAGATGAGAGAAAATCGGCTCTGGTGATTTGGACATGTGCAAAGAAGGCCGACTGACGCTCCGGTTCGAAGATGTGACTACGGGACAGAGGTTCAGGGCCGAAGGGGTAGAGGAAGACCTAGGAAAACTTTGGAAGAGACTCTAAGAAAAGACTTAGAGTACTTGGATCTAACGGAGGACATGACACAAAACCGAGCGCAATGGCGTTCTAGGATTCATATAGCCGACCCCACTTAGTGGGAAAAGGCTTTGTTGTTGTTGTTGTTTAAAATTGTAAGATATAAGAATAATAACAACTTTATAAACTACGGATCTTAAGCATCTCTAATGGAGTAGGTAAATGAGTAGCTAAATTTCTTTTGATGAGCCATCCAGGCAAAATCTGGAGTAGTCAATTGAGTAAGCAAACTTTGCCTACTCCTTTAGAGTAGACAACATTGGAGAGATGTTTTAGTGTAGCAGGAATTCGCCAAGTACATCAAATGTCCTGATTGCATTGAAGAAGAAAATTTTGACAATTTATATTATGAAACTTGATGTACCGGAACGTATTTCGGTACACTAAAATACTTCTCGCAACATTGCTTACTTTTATATGTGTAGGCAAAACTAGAACTCAAATATATATTTATAATAAAGTATTCTATGTGAGGGGAAGATGCCAGAAAAGATACAAGTGAATATCAAATGTGAAAGACAATAATAAAATAAAACTTTGCCTATTTAGTTTGCTTATCCTATAGGACTGACATAATATTTTATGAGGCAATTTACTAAGCAACTTGCCATGTCAATTACTATGGTAAATTTTTACCAATTACTTTTGCTTACACCATTAAAAATGATTATGGGGCATCGGATACCTGGAAGGTTCAAACCCGAACCAGATGTTGTGGGGGGTTGTGGACTTAGTGAGGGAGCCATTGGTGGACAAGCAGTGAAATCGTTTGTGCCTGAAAAATAAAAACACAAAACAGTAAGAAAAAAAACACCCAAACTCTAGAAACTTGACCTCAGAATCAGCTTTTGCACCACCAAATTCAAGAAAGAAAAAAAGTTGAGAGATTTAATTAGTACATTCAAGAAAAATAATAAATAATAAATAATAAATAATAAATAATAACGATCAAATATTACCTTGGTGGTGGTGGTTCAACGGAGAAAAGATGGTTGTGGGGTTTAGCTAGGAAGAGGAGGTCGTGTCTGGTGGTGGTGATCAGTGGCATTAGATGAAGTGTTGCATACAGAGATTGTGTGAGCTTGTTTACCTACCCTGTATACAAGGTTCTAAAAGACGCTAAGCGATAGTCAGACGACAGGTTGGGGTCTAGTGCCTAGGCTCATAGGCGGGGCTTAGGTGGGTGCCTAGACGGATTTAAGTAAATTTGTTATATTTCATATTAATAAATGTCTGTTTATACTTAAAAATATATATAATTATATCATAAATTACAAAATAGAATGACATATATATTATAAAGTACTGAAACATAATGAAAACATGGGGAACAAGCGTATAATGTGTGCTCATTTAAGTATTCAACAAGTCTCTTACAATTTATTTAAAAAAATGCAAAATGAAAGTTATTTATTTTCTGTCTAAGTGAGTTGCAACCTAGGCGGGTGTCTAGGTGAGTTTGGACGGGTTAGGCGGTTGCCTAGGAGGTCTAGACGGGTGCCTAAGCAGGACGATGTCCAACGCCTAGGCATTAGACGGACGATGTCCAACGCCTAGGAGCTAGACGGACAATGTCCAACCGCCTAGGCGCTAGACGGAGATTTTTAGAACAGTGCCTATATATCTATAAACTAGTGTGTGCGTGTGTATATATATATATTTTTTACAAGAAATATAATAGGCAACAACTTGTGCAAGTTCTTGCCTATTATATTTACAAGAGTAATCAATTCATCCTATTCAAAACTAGACAAACTTTTCCCCTTCGTATCATCTTATGAAGAGTAACTTCCACAAGTCGTTTCTTATAGGTACATTGTCGACAACTATTATAAAACAGAATTAAAAAGAGAAACAAACGTATTATAACTAGATAGAAGAGAAAAATGCGAGATGAGGGAGAAACTAGGAGAATAGAGATTGTACTATTTCCTTGGGAAAAATCCCTATTTGCGCTAATTACATGAGTACAGTAAAAGGTGTTAACCTTAATTACTCATCAAACAAGTGCATATATAATAAAAAAAATTATCATATATCCCTAATCAATAACTTGATTAAGGTGATCCGTATTTACCACAAAAGGGGCATTTTTCATGTGTAGAAAACTTATTTATTATTATAGGAGCGACAACATACATGAAACTCATTATCCACGTAACAATTAAAGAATGCCGCCATTTGAGGATTTAGGTTTTGCTGCCCTTTGAAGAATTATGTTTGGAAGCCGAGTGGGAATTACCTTTAAGAAGATTCTTCCACCAATGAGCTGAGAGTTTGTAATGTCTTTTGAGTCCGTTTTTGTAATCCACATAGATGATACCAAATCTCACAGTGTAACCGTTAACCCATTCAAAGTTGTCAAGCAATGACCACGCAAAGAACCCTTTCACATTAGCGCCATTCCTGCTCAATCAAATGTTAGATACAATCATGTTCGTGAAATTATTGGCCAAGAAATGAGAACAAATCAAATCTTTGCTTAATTTTGTCAAGCAATCACTTACTTAATGGCTTCTTGAACGTAATAAAGATGCGAATCGTAATATTTAATTCTTTCTTTGTCAATGAGAGATTCCTCAAGTGATAATTTGGGATCATTTGCCTCGTCAACTCCTACAAAAAAAAAATGTGATGTTTATTTAGTTTCATATGGAAATATAAATGGCAATACGTGTATATATGTATATATGATTTGACATAACTACCGTAACTACCATTTTCTGTGATGTAAATAATTGGATTTTTATACTTTATCTTTGTGTAAGTTAACAGTTCTTGAAGTCCTTGTGGATAAATATAAAGCCAATCCGAAGCAGCCTACAGCCAACCATATGAAATTATGTGAGCTACAACATGATATGAGGTAAGAGGGTTTATAAGTTTAATATATATTATTCATTTTTTTGAAAAGGGGTGCAACTGGTGACGAACTACGGTTATACACTCATTAGGCCCACAGGAGGCTAACTGGGACTTGCAACTTACCCATGATCATGATCAAGCAGATTCACAGTTTACGAACTATCAAACTTAGGACTTCCCTTTTTTTTTTTTTTTCCTTTAAGAAGCTACTGTTCACATTTTTCTATTCTGCTATTTGTTTTGGTTTTTTAAGTTTAATATATGAACTAATCGTGTATATATATATAGTAGACGTACCATTGGACCAATGGGGACTCCATTGCGGTTGTCTGCCACAATAATATTCATTTGTCAAAGTCTTGTTAGTGTGCTTTAATTAAAAAAATGATCGGAAGCTAATTAAAATTAGCTATTAAAATTTTAATAAATTAATTACTCACTTAATGATTCGACGTTGGAGTCGGTTGACTGGCTTGGCTGCTTTACAGACTTATTGGCAGTAACATCTTTTGCATAAGACGATGAGTAGTAATTCAACCCAACAAAGTCATATGAACCTTTTAGCATTTTGGATTGCTCTTTGGTGAAGTTGGGCAATCGATTTCCAATTAGGCGTTGCATACTCTTTGGATACCGACCGCTTGTCACCGGATCCATAAACCTATATTTAAATAAAGAATTTTAAACATATATTAAGCAAGTTTTAAAAAAATGTGAATTGTAAATCAAGTTATCTAATTAGTTTAACTGCTGTAGTAATCTAATTATTTAGAAGAGAGTAAGTACCATCCATACGAAAAATCAAGTGCTCTAACTGCAGCATCTTTATCTTCCGTTGAATTAGAAAATGGAACAGACCAACCTGAGTTAAGTGTTATTCCGATCACGCCCTTTTGTGTAGCCTGTGCATGCATGCATATTCAATATTAACATTTGATTTTATGGATATATGTATGTGTGTGTGTGTGTGTATATAAGCGGCGATCCCAAGTCAATAAGGCTCCCCGCTTTGCGAGAGTCGGAAGAAAACCACTTATCGTGCATAACCTTACTCTTGCTTTGCAAAGAGACTGGTTTCACGACTCGAACTCATGACCTTTTGATCATAAAGAAGCAACCTTTTAGTTGCATCCAAGCTCACACTCGTATATGTTTATAGATATATATATATATATATATATATATATATATATGTATATATATGTATGTAACTTACTTGATACTTGTCTCTATACACATTTACAGCAGCTGCATGAGCTAGAAGTTGGTGATGTGCCGACAAATATGGCTCCGTTGCGGAATTCCCACCCTCTTTGCATTTTGTATGGTTAGAGCATCGGCCTGGAGCAAATGCTCCAACTGTATAACCCTGGACGCTATAAGTTTGAGGCTCATTTAACGTGATCCAGTGCTTAATTTTGTCACCAAACTCTTTAAAGCAGAGGTCTGCAAAGTCCCGAAAATCACTCCTATATGAAATAAAATGTTTGTTTAAATTTTGAACCTTAATTAATTGAGCATTTCACGAGTTTATAAGTGCTGAGGAAGTTCTTTCACGTACACACTGTTAGGGCTTAAGAAGCCAAGGTACTCATCCTCCAAAGCCTGGGGAAAATCCCAATGAAAAAGTGTCACGAAGGGCTTTATACCTGCAATGTTTAAAAATTAATACGATACAGAAATAAAAATGATCAGTAATTAGTAATATCTGTTTCTTTTTTGGGTCAAATTAGTCTCAAAAGGGTCATGGGCATAACCATTGGCTTGAAGCTCATTGAGGAGATTTTTGTAATAATTTAGTCCTTCCTTATTCACTCCCCCACTTAGCGTTCCATCTGATAAAAAAGTTTTGGGGAGAAAGAAAAACAATGTAGTACATTAGAAGAACAGAATACAACAACAATCAAGTTTTATCTCATCAAATGAGGTTGGTTGTATCATGTATGAATTCTAAAATATCATTGTGCTTGGTTTTGCGTCAAATCTTCCGCTTTTGCGGTCATATTTATATTATATAATTAATTAAAACAATAGTCAATTAATTACATTATATTGATTGTCTTACTAGGTAACAAGCGAGACCATGAGATTGAAAATCTGTAAAAATCCCAACCCATATCCTTGAGAATCCCAACATCTTCCTGTAACATGTCGAAGGAACCTTGTTATTTTTCTTGTACTCAAATTCTTATAATTAGTCTTCACTGCTACATTCTTAAAAAAGAATTAAAGGTAAAAAAAGTGTGACTTATACCTTATAGCGATGATATGAATCAACAGCCACATCTCCATTGCTGCGATCCGTTATTTTATCTGAATTATTTTATTTGTACATAAAATATGTAAGCACCTTATAAACTGATTGGAAGCAAACCTATTTGATGAAAACAATTTAGATTTTGAGCGTTTTAATCTAATTTGCTCGGTAAAACATTTAAATAAAAACAAAACCTAATTGCAAAATACACTCTTGAAACTTGGATCAGTCACTTTAAAAATGAGTTTTTATTACAAATAGTCTCTGAGATGATCAAAGTCATCATTTTGGTCTCTCACTTTCAAAATCAATCAATATCGTCCCTGACATTCACTATCCCACATCAATTTGGTCATTCCGTTAAGATTTCGTCAACTCTTCTATTAGTTTGTATGTGAAACCCACAATCCAATGAAATGGTGACACATGGATTATACAAAATAATGGGTTTTGTTGCAAATGGTCCCTGCCACTGATCCAACTCCTCATTTTGATCTCTGATTTTAAAAAATCAATAAATTTGGTCATTGACTTTCACTACCGCACATCAATTTAGTTCTTCTGTTAAAATTTCATCAATATTTTTCGTTTGTGTGCTGATGTGGTCCCACTAATCGAATCATATGGCTCCATATGGATTAACTATAAGAAACTATTTTTTACGAGTGAAGCAACATACGAGTATTTCGCGTTAACATTTCTTGCATCCCACAACCCTACTTGGAAAAAAAATTCAATCTAAATTCGATAAAATCAAATCCAAATTCAATTCACATTTGATAGGATCATAAACAACTAGAGAGAGTGAGGAATGAGTTCAGGAGGCCAAGTACTTTAGTGGTGTTATGGTGTGTTTTTTTCTTTTTGAGCATATCTTGATGAGGACGACGATGACTTTTTTTTTTTCTTTTAGTTTTGGTTTTTAGTTTCTTATTTTACTTTTAGTTTTAAATCTTAAAAAAAAAAGTTTCTTGTAGATAATCCACATGGCGCCATATGATTGGATTAGTGAGACAACAAATATTGACGAAAGTTTAACGGAAGGATTAAATTGACGTTCGGTATTGAAAGTAGAGATCAAATTTATCGATTTGTAAAACTTAAGGACCAAAATGAGGAGTTGAATCAATGTCAGGGACCATTTGCGATAAAAATTCTTATGTTGTGTATTCCACGTGTCACTAATTCATTGGATTTGTGGGTCCCACATACAAACTAACAGAATAGTTGACAAAATTTTAACGGAATGAACAAATTGATGTGAAGTAGTAAATGTCAGGAACGATATTGATTGATTTTGAAAGTGAGAGACCAAAATGATAAGTTTGATCAATCTCATGAACTATTATGATAAAAACCCTTTAAAACAAGATGATTTAAAAAAAAATTCGCATAAAACTTTAGATTAACTAGATATTTGGTAGAAAATATGCAAGTTGTCTTTGATTTCCGATATGTTAATGTTGTATGGAAGAAGAGGAGTATGAAAAGTAAAATAATTCACATACCTGGGTATTTGTGAGTGAATGTATCCCAAACACATGGTCCTCTACCCCCTTCCTTTGCAGCACCTTCAAACTAATAGAATTCCCGAACACACAACAAATTAAACCCACCATTCTAGTGAGAATTAATTAACCTTGAAAGAAAAAAAAAAAAAAATTACGTACCTGGTAAGCCGCTCCGGCAGACCCAAATATGAAATCGGAGGAAAAACTGCTCCGGTTGAAGATGTGATGAGCGTCACATGAAGCATAGTCTTTGGGATGATTTTGCTTGGCAGATTTACTAGTTGTAACTGCACAGCCAAGAACAAGCAGGAGGATGAAACCTAACTTAATCATGATGTTTTGATGCTGATTTTTAATTTTTTTTTTTAATTTGAATTCTAGGGTTAGCTATTGGCCCTTTATATATACACATAATTTTTCTAGCGGAAAAAATCATGATAGGATTGAAAGACTAAATTTGAACATATATTATCTGTCTTTTTTGGTCGAAAGAAAGATCTCATTATTATTATTTTTTTTTGAGAAAGTACGATATTCCAATAATGAGAAGATCTTATTAAACTCGAATAGAAACAAATATTATCTGTCAACGCCAGTTTTATGATTATATTTATCATCATCACCCTTCCGTTCCATGTTTAATCCGTATATATATTTGACTACAATAAGAAGCGGTCCGTGCATACGGAAAGATTTGTTTTCCTGTTGACGATGTTCAACCTTCTGTTTTAGACTCAAATAGAATAACGGATATGATTTGACGAACTGCTAAGGAAACCTAACAAATTAACGATTAAAAACATTTTCACATTGGATAAAACAGGATAAATGTAAGTATTTGATTTTGCTGGCGACATGTCTGTTTTATTTTTTGTCTTGCTTTGATAAAGATGTCTAGCTTTTGAAATTTTAAGATTATTCATGGCTATTTTGACTTGCAATTAAACATCTTCCTACAGCCTTGCAATTATATTTAATATATCTTTTTAATTCCTGAATAATATATCAAAAATCCTAAACTCTGGTATATAAATTTTTAGTATTCAATTTTAATAAAAAGTCTTTCAAATTGAGTAATGTTATTTGTACCATGTCTTTGTACTACATTTTCATATCATCTTAACATTTGACGTGGACAGCCACATCATTTGAATTAATCAGATTTTTAAATTTAGTTATTATTTAATAAACTAATAATTAAGAAAAACTAGTTAATTAAATGATGATTGTGGTATACGAGGAGTCTTTCTCCTTCATTTCTTTGGGTTTTGCAAATTTTTCAAATGATGTGACTGTCCACGTCAAATGTCACCTAAAATAGTATGAAAATGTGGTACAAATATATGGTATGAATATCATTACTCTTTCAAATTACTCATGAAAAGTGATATATGCTCTTCCTTACAGGCTTACACCAATGCGCAGAAGAATTTTCTATTGTACCATCGTTGAAATTTCTGTCCTATCATCACCGAAATTTCACTCTACTTTTCCTTCTATATTTGCTAGTGATTTAGCGGTTTTTCAATGATTATTTAGATATGTGCACTCAAATTCAATCATGTTTACAATTATTTATAATTATTAGTAGAAGAAACTATAGAGGTCGCACTTGGTGTGATGGTAAGTGCCTTCGCCCATGAGCGGTAGGTCTCGGGTTCGAGACTTGGGAGCCCCCTCTCCATAAATGGGGGTAAGGCTAGCCGACATTCACCTCTCCCAGACCCTGCGTAAAGCGGGAGCCTTATGCACTGGGTACGACCTTTATTAGTAGAAGAAACTATACATGTATTTGTTTGGAGGCCTTTCTATTTGTTGTTGGTGGTACACGTGTTTGGTGCTTTTTGTAAAAATACTTTTGGAAAAGAAAAAAAACAGTATAATAATGTTTGGTAAACTTTTATATAAAACAGCTGTGACTGTGTAAAATGACAAAAAATAGTATAATACTAGATGTGTTATTAATTTAATTTTCTTAACAAATAAAAATGAATTACTAAATATACTTTATTTTTAAAAGAAAAATATTTGAAAACTTTATCTTAAATATTAATTAGTATGACAAACTACTTCAATTGAAATATTTTAGACTGAATAGCTAGAATTCATTAATACAATATTGTTAATGTACTTGAAGGTAGTCTAATTAGATACATTCATCAAACTTGCTGCTATTCTATTTCTTAATGCCTCTGTCTCATGTGATCCTTCAACTTGATAATTTTAGTTTTCTTCATCATCATTATCATCACTACTATCGATCTTTTCATAAAAGTCCTTGGGATCATCAAAATGACAATCACTTTCAGCATACAACTACAAAATCCAACAGCAAATCACAAAACAATCAAACAATCAACAGCAATTCACACAACAATCAACAGCAGAACGAAAAAATACCCAGAAAAAAGGAGCGCGACGGCAGCGAAGAGAATCCACTGACAGCTCCGACTCGTCTCTTCGTCTACCTTAATCAAGAGTGGAAACGTAAGAGATAATGATGAGAAATAAAAAAGGGCAGAAAAAGAGGAGGAGATTTGGGTTCATGGATCTCATGATAACAAACAGAGCAACACCATCGTTGCCAATCAAACCCTAAGAATTGAAATTGTTTCATGGATCTCATGATAATAACCTTAATTCAAACCCCAAAACTGAAATTTAGAGAATTAATTCAAACCCCAAAACTGAAAATTAGGACATTAATTCAAACATCAAAACCGAAATTCCCACAACGATGGAAGAGAGAGAGAGAGAGAGAGAGAGAGAGATGGAGAGGGAGAGAGAAAGAGTTATGTTTACCTAATCAATGAGATCAAGCTCGGTCGTTGGTTGCCACACAAAACCCTGTTTCAGAAAACCCCAAAAAAATGGGTTCATCATCAGAGAGCAGCCAAACCCTAACCTAAAAATTAAATTAATTAATTACAGCAAAAATTTAAAGCAAATCGAGTACCTGGTACCTGGAAGGCGACGGCGGTGTGGCGCTGAGACCGACGAAGAGAAAGGAAAAGGAGGAGGAGGAAGAGGTGCAGCGGCGTGTTTTGCGAGAGAGAAAGAGAGAGTGCAGAGTGTAGGAATCAGGAGAAAGGAGAGAGGAGAAAGGAGGGGGCGGTATTGGCAAATTGAAAAAATTCATTAGCTTGGTACTGTAGCTCTGTGTTTTGGATAATAAGCAGCTTCCACTTTTTGGTTTTTTCATGTGAAGTTTTGAAATAAAGCTATTTTGAGATGTTTACCAAATATCAAAATCCTTACCAGCTTTTCTTCATTCTGTTTTTTTTTTTTAATCACCTCAATCCCAAAATGCACCACAGAATGATTGCTTGAACCCTGGTTTGGTACTGCTTAGATTTTTTTAAAAGTTAGGATAAAAAAAAGTTGAGCTCAATATTGTGTTTGGTAACTCAAGTTGCTTCCAAAAAACAACTTTTTTATCACAGCAGCACGGGTGAAAAAATTAGGGAGTGAAAAAATTAATTGGGGAAAAAAATTAGGGTTTGTGGAGGAAAAAAAAATTGAGAGAGAAGTAAGAAAAATTGATTACTTCTATGCCCGCAACGAAGCTTGTCGTTCGAGCCGCTCGAACCGAGTCTATAATCTTCTGTGAACTATTCAGTTGGTTAGAGTGTCCGATATAAGAATGTTTGGTATATGTTGGAAGTATATGCAAGAAATGATGAATGTATTGATTGCACAGTTTAAAATTAATGATACTGTAAAGTGATTATATATCAATTTTGGTGAATTAGTTGATTTTATTAGCAATCTCAGTAAAAGAAATTAATTTGATTCTCGAATGAATACCATGTAGGAGCAGTTTAGGATAGATTTAAAGGGGTCTTTCTGGGGTTCCGAGCTCCTAATTTTGGGGCACCACATATATAGTTGTTCTTTTTAAATTTTGTCAAGATTTGTTCATTATTTTGATTGTTTGGGAATTGGTTTTAGATTCCGAAGCCCCTTACTGGGAAAGTTTTGAAATCGTAAGATTTTGAATCACATTCTGCTTTACTGGTGAGTTCTTGCTTCGTGTTTTTCTTCAATGGTGTTTTGGATGGTTATTGTTTGTTTGATTTTCTTATCATCTGTCATATTATATGTCATGTATTGGATATTGGCAATTAGTAAGAGTCGATTTTTAGATTAATTAACATGAATGATGGGTTCTTAAATAACAACTACAACTGCAAATGACATGACAATTGCTATTTTAGTGGAAATAAGGGGATGTTAAAACGTAATGGTTGTTTCTGTAATGTCGAATTGTTTAGAATAAGTTGCATAGCTACCTACAATTTGTTCATTGATTTAGTCAATGACCCTAACGAAATAAGGTAGGTTCCTTAGATTTATAAGGCCTATCGTCTGTCATAGGGCATAAGTTTCTAAGAGCTGCACAGCAGATTGGGCAGAGGGGAAGGTAAGGGTGCAGGTCTGCGTGGTTACGATGACTCGTGCCAACTTGATTCTGGTGGTGATGTCGATTTGCATGACCACAAGGCTTCAAAGTTGCTGCATTATAATTCTGCTTCTGGAATTTTATGCTTCTACTTTTATTGGGCTTAAGTGCGGGTTGATATATTTGAATTTTTAAGTTGGCTTCTGTAGAGATTAGAAGGTTGCTTAACTATCCAAAAAGGAAAACAAAGCATATAAGTGGCTGTGGATAGCTTAAATCCTTGTATCCTATGATCTGGGGTTTAACTAAACTAATGAGTCCCTGTAGAGTATTGTGCATTTGTGCTGATGTTTAGCTTGTGTGTCATTACCTCAATGGGCATCATTTTAGCTTGTGTGTCATTTCCTCAGAGATAGATCCACAACGTTTATCCCTCAAATGAGGGGTTATTTGGGACCATATAAAGGTGAAAGATATAATCTCTTGGATTTTCGTAGGGGTCCCGAACCAACGGGTCATAAAGAGGTATTCAACCACATGTATTCTTCTCTTAGGAGCATCGTTGAACGAAATTTTGGGGTATGGAAGAAAAGATGGGCAATTTTAAGGGATATGCCTAATTACATGTTCAATAAACAAGCGAAGATTGTCCTTGCTACAATGACTCTTCATAACTACATACGGAGGTATTTTGAACATGATCGTCATTTTGATGACCCCAAGGACTATTGTGAAAAGAGCGATATCAAGTTGAATAATCACATAAGATAGAAGCATTAAGAAATAGAATAGCGGCAAGTTTGATGAATGCATCTAATTGGACTACTTTCAAGTACATTAACAATATTGTACTATTGAATCCTAGTTATTCAGTCTAAAATATTTCAATTGAAGTAGTTTGTCATACTCAAGGTATTAAATATCGGTAATATCGGAAATATCGGTAGTCCAGAAACACGGAAATATTGATAGAAATATCGGGATATTATCGATATCGATAAAAATAATATGGAAACCACGGAAATTGTAAGAAAAACTTGGAAATTTTTATTGAAACTTTGTAGCATGTTTATTTAGTCAATTATCTATTAGTTTATCACAAAAAATTGGAAGGAAATGCATTGCATGATGGATTTAACTGATTTAAGTTGATTATATAGCGAGCTGGCAAACATTGTGAGTTTAGAAAATATGTAGTAATTAATGAAAGAAGTTTAAACACACCACAATCATTTATATATAATGAATTAGTACAATATTGGGAGGTTTTATTTAGGATATTAAAAAAAAAGGAAGTGAATAAAATGATGAAGAATAATGTGCCGGATTTTACACTTTAAATTTCTTACGCATAAGCATACGTCTAGGCGTTGAAGTTCCAAATTATAGTATATCAATTAACGATTGAAAATCAATACGTTGAATAAGACTAAACTTTAATTTGGATGCCGATTATGTTTTTTCAAGTTTATATAAAGTAAAAGAATTGAATTTTGGAAGTCAGGAGTGTGTCAATTGTTTTATAATTCGTCCGAATACATATATCAGGTTGCTACTCAACGTAATTTGAAAGTATATCTAGTGCAAGGACTTGTCTTTTTTTGTTGATAAGCAAAGGGTTTGTAGCTTTTTTTGCTAAGCAGTAGAACATTTATATTTGTTTAATCTTTAACATTTGATGGTTGTCCACAAATATAGGATAGAAGGCCCCAAATTATCTGGCTCTTAGCTAGTTGGAGTCACAAGTTCACATGTACCAGCCTTGCTGCAAAACGTTTTGGTTTCTGTTATTGCTAGAGTCCCACATTGCCCACGCGAGGGCAGTGAGCAAGCAAGATGACCTATAAAAGCCACATTCCCAAGCTGAGAAAAGCATGTCTTGCTCGGCCTTTGGGCTATGATCAAGTGTAGTATGTGTTGAGACTTCTCAATATTTTTAAGTATTTTTGGGTTTTATCTCGCGATATTATCGATAATATCGGGATATATTGCCCAAATAATGCATTAAAATGCTGATAATATCGTTTTCGATATTATCGCGATAATATCGACAAAAATGTCGATATATTGACGATAATGAAGTGGATGAGTAAGAAAATATCGTCCTCCAAAAAAAACGATATTATCGGCGAAATATCGATATTTAAAACCTTGGTCATACTAATTAATATTTAAGATAAAGTTGATAAATATTTTTCTTTTAAAAATAAAGTATATTTATTAATTCACCTTTATTTGTTAAGAAAATTAAATTAATGGCACATCCAGTATTATACCCTTTTTGGTCATTTCATACAGTCACAGTTGTTTTACATAAAAGTTTACCAAACACTATAATATTTCTTTTTTTTTTCCAAAAGAACTTTCACAAAAAAGTTTATCAAACACTCACCTGCTTATTCTCACAGCACAGCAGAAACAGTTTTTTTTTTCAAAGCACAACAATACCAAACTAGCCCCAGTCTTACGAATGCAAAATTTGATTTGACACCAATTCTATTTCTCGTAAATTAGAAGAAAATAAATTAGTGATATTTTTAAGGGTTAATCTCAGTTTACTACTCTGAAGTTTCTTGGTTTTCAACATTTGGTACATGAATTTTTTTTCATCCCACAGTGGTACCTGAAGTCATAATTTTGGAACAGTTTCACATACATCAATTAAAGTTGCTGTTAAATCAGCCGTTAACTGATGACGTAACATCCATGTGGATAATGACGAGGCACCACATGTCAATATGGGTCCACATAAATATTAAAAAATTTAAAATTAAAAAAAAAACGTCAAAAATAAAAAATAAAAAAATTTGGTTGTCTTCTACGTCCCCCGTCTCCCTTGCTCGCCCCCTCCTTCTCCCTCCCTTCTCTCCTTTGCCCGAACCCACCAAACCCTCATACCACATCCGGTCGATGACGCACTCTGTCTTGGGCTGTTGCTCCGAGCTGCGACAATCGAAGAGATCATTGACGAAACACTGACGTTATCCAGTTGCAATCAGAAAAGCTTCGGGATCCAGAAGATCGACGACAAAAGGGTTGTAATTTTGGTTAGCGCCCCGTGGCTTTCCACCGCTATCAAATCAGGTAGATGGGGGTCGGAGGTTCGAGCTCATGAAGGCATTTTAAGAGAATAGGAGGGTTGGGTGGGTGGATGAGTGGAGTCGAAGATGGAGGGGGAATGGTGGATGTATGACGAGTCCAGAGGAGAGGGATGGAGGGGGATTGGGAGGAAATCGGGGGGGGGGGGTAGAAGATGACCAATTTTTTTTTTAATTAAATTTTTTTAAATATTTATGTGGACCCATATTGAGTGGAGTCGAAGATGGAGGGGGAATGGTGGATGTATGACGAGTCCAGAGGAGAGGGATGGAGGGGGATTGGGAGGAAATCGGGGGGGGGGGGGGTAGAAGATGACCAAATTTTTTTTTAATTACATTTTTTTAAATATTTATGTGGACCCATATTGACACATGGTGCCATGTCATTGTCCATGTGAATGCCACGTCATCAGTTACAGCTGATTTAACAACAATTTTAACTAAAATATGAAAGTATCCCAAAATTATGACTTCATGTACCACTCTGGGATGAAAAAAACTTCATGTACCAAATATTGAAAACCAAAAAACTTCAGAGTAGTAAACTGAGATTAACCCAATTTTTAATCTCTCATTGCCTTGTACTTTAGATGAGTGCCAATTTGATCCTTTAATTAAGAAGATGAAGTCTAGGGTTTTGATTAGGATAGGTTATAGGTTTGATCGTTTAATTAATTAGAAGATGAAGTCTAGGGTTTTGATGAGTGCCATACTAGAAGCCATTCGAACTTCCAGCAAAAGGACTCGGGGTGACCTAATCGAGTCCATCTTGTTCCCCCGTACCATCCCAAGGTGATCAAGATCAATCCGAAGCCCAAACGTTTTGAGCTCTGTCTCGATCAGATGCATAAGAAAATCCATTGAGCCGAGTTTCAGACAAAGAAGATAGAAAGGACTGGACACTAACACTGAAGGCGCCATTGGTGGTGTGCTGCCAAATAGGTTTATCAGGTCTGCAACTTTCAAATATCTTGATCAAATCTTATCATTGACCAATTATGTCACAAGAAATACTGAATGAGTTTGCTATTTTGTTAATTGAAAGAGAATTGATTGAAATTTTTGATTATATAAACTTAATTAGTACATTTGCGCCTAAAAATGCGACACATGTAATATGCAACTAATGTTTTCATAGGTTTCTTCCATTGTTATTAATTTTTTATGACATTTGATATAAAAATAGATTTTTTATGTATTTACATTATTTTTTTTATACATATCAATATACAAATAGTCGAGTTTCAGAAAAATCTAGAACCCATGTTGAAGACTCGACTAGATAGTAGATACCCTAATTTCTCATGGCCGCCCTTTCCAAACTGTATAGAAACTTAACCTCAAAATCAGCACCTGCACCACCAAATTCAAGAAAAATAACGTTGAGACATTTATATATTCAAGAAAAGTTAAACTTAAAAATAAATAATCAAATATTACCTTGGTGGTGGGGGTCCAACGGAGAAAAGATAGTTGTGGGGTTCAACTAGGAAGAGGAGGTCGTGTCTGGTGGTGATGCTGGTGATCGTGGAATTGGATGGCATCTTGCATAGAGGATTGTCTGAGCTTGTTTTCCTCCCCTTTATAACTATAGCTAGTGTGTATTTACATAAAGTATAATAGGCAACGACTTGTGCAAATTCAATAATTTACAACAGCAAACCAATTTATTCTATTCAAATTCAACAATTAGATAACAACTACCATTTAGTACTACGGTCTAGTAATATTTCTTTTCACTTATAAGTGAGAAATCTTAGATTTAATTCTTACTAAAAACGAATTTGAACGTGTTATTATGTCTAGCCTATTATGAGGCTTAACTCATTATTACAATCTAGTGTTGATATCGTATTATAACATAGACACGAGAAAGAAAATAAAAGGTGAGAGTATCTCGCATGGAGATGTAAAAAAATAAAAAAATTAAAAAAAATAAAATAAACCAAGGGCTAAATATTAATTTGATGGTTGACATGACAATGTTAAATTTTATCTTCTTCCAACCCATATGTTTTTTGTTATAAAGGATATATGACCCATTTTTAAAAAGAAATAAATTAAAATAAATTTTCAAGATTTATAATTGGTGCACTAATGAGATCCATACAATAAAATAATTAAAAAATTAATTAATATCACCTTTATGTCAAATTTGACATCAAAAGATTCATATGTCAATTCACGTAGAATTGAGAAATCGGTTGGTGCTTTTAATACTTTCAAATTTGATTACGTGACATTCCACTTAAGATTTGAAATCTCCTCCGGAGATGGTCTGAGATTAAGAGAGAAACTAGAATGGATCTTATATTATTTCCTTGGGGAAATCCTTATTTGTGCTAATTACAAGAGTTCAATAGAAGGTATGAACCTTAATTACTCATGAAACAAATGCATCCTAATCAAAGGGAGCATTTTTTTCCCTTTGCAGAAAACTTATTTATTATTATAAAAACGGCAACATACGTGAAACTCATTATCCACGTAGCGATTAAAGGATGTCGCCCTTTGAGGATTTAGGTTTTGAACTGGTGCCCCCTGAGGGTTTGGTGTTGCTCTTTGAGGAATTATGTTTAGGACCCGAGCGGGAAAGAAGATTCTTCCACCAACGAGCTGAGAGTTTGTAATGTCTTTTGAGTCCGTTTTTGTAATCCACATAAATGAGACCGAATCTCACAGTGTAACCGTCAGCCCATTCAAAATTGTCGAGCAAAGACCACGCAAAGAACCCTTTCACATTAATGCCCTTCCTGCTCAATCAAATGTTAGATACAATCATGTTTGTGAAATGATTGGCCAAAAAATGAGAACAAAAATCAAATCTTTGCTTAATTTTGTCAAGCGATCACTTACTTAATGGCTTCTTGAACGTAATAAAGATGCGCATCGTAATATTTAATTCTTTCTTTGTCGATGAGAGCTTCCTCAAGTGATAATTTGGGATCATTTGCCTCGTCAACTCCTACAAAAAAAAATGTGATGTTTATTTAGTTTCATGTGGAAATATAAATGGCAATAAGTGTATGTAGTATGTATGATTTGACATTTTTAACGAAACTAAAATTATTGAAATCACACAATTAATACGTAAAACCGTAATTACCATTTTCTGTGATGTAAATAACTGGATTTTTATACTTTCTCTTTGTGTAACTTAATAGTTCTAGAAGCCCTTGTGGATAAATATATAGCCAATTTGATGCAGCCTGAAAAATACCATGTCAAAGTTGTGTGAGTTGCAACATAATATGAGGTAAGAGGGTTTATAAGTTTAATATTATTTCTGTGTAAATAATATTGTTTTTGTTGGAAAAAAAAATTAATATATATGAACTTGCCATATATATATATAGTAAACGTACCATTGGACCAATGAGGACTCCATTGCGGTTGTCTGCCACAATAAATTCATTTTTCAAAGTCTTGTTAGTGGTGCTTTAATTAAAAAATTATATATCGGAAGCTAAAATTTTTAACTAAATTTACTCACTTAATGATTCGACCTTGGCGTCGGTTGACTGGCTTAGCTGTGCAGCCTTAACAGGAACATCTTTTGCATATGACGATGAGTAGTAATTCAATCCAATAAAGTCATATGAACCTTTTAGCAGACTGGATTGCTCTTCGGTGAACTTGGGCATTCGACTTCCAACTAGCTTTACCATATGCTTTGGATATTTACCCCTTGTCAACGGATCCATAAACCTATAATTAAATCGAAATTTTCAAATATATATTAAGCAAGTTTAAAAATATGTGAATTGTAAATCAAGTGATTTAATTATTTAACTTCATTAGTGATCTAATTATTTAGAAGTGCGTACGTACCAGCCATACGAAAAATCAAGTGCTCGCATTGCAGCACCTTTATCCTCCATAGAATCAGAAAGGGGTACAGACCAACCGGAGTTAAGTGCTATTCCGATCACGCCCTTTTGCGAAGCCTGTGCAGGCATGCATATTTAATATTAACATTTGAATATATAATATATGTACGTTTGTGTATATATACATGTATATATTTAAAACTTACCTGATACTTGTCTCTATACACTTTTACAGCAGTTGCATGAGCTAGAAGTTGGTGATACGCTGCCAAATATGGCTCCGTCGCCGAATTTCCACCCTCTGTGCATTTTGTATGGTTAGAGCATCGGCCTGGAGCAAATGTTCCGACTGTATAACCTTGGACGCTATAAGTTTGAGGCTCATTTAACGTGATCCAGTGCTTTACTTTGTCACCAAATTCTTTAAAGCAGAGGTCTGCATAGTCCTGAAAATGACTCCTACATATATGAAATAAAATGTTTGATTCAATTTTCAACTCTTAATTAATTAAGCATTTCACGAGTTTACAAGTGCTAGGGAAGTTGTTTCACTTACACACTGTTAGGGCTTAAGAAGCCACGGTACTCATCTTCCAAAGCCTGGGGAAAATCCCAATGAAAGAGTGTCACGAAGGGTTTTATGCCTGCAATATATAAAAATTAAAACAATATTACACAAACGAAAAAAAATAAACAATAATAGTAATATATTTTTCTTTTTGGATAAAATTAGTCGCAGAGGAGTCATGGGCATAACCATTGGCTTGAAGCTCATTGAGGAGGTTTTTGTAATAGTTTAGTCCTTCCATGTTCACTCCCCCACTTAGCTTTCCATCTGATCCAAACGTTTTGGGGAGAAAGAACAACAATGTAATTGCATTAGAAGCATACTAATCATCACCATATTTATTTATTTTTCTTTAAAAGGAGACAACTAGTGACGAATCATAGTTATTCCGTAACCATAATTAAACAGATTGACAACTTATAAAGTATTGAACACAGAACCTCCATTTTTCTCTTTAGGGAGAAGCTGTTCGAACTTTTCCACAAGGCAACTTGTCGGGGTTATGATATATATTAATATAATTAAATAAAACAATAGTAATTTACAGATTTTTACTATATTGATTGTCTTACTAGGTAACAAGCGAGACCATGAGATTGAAAATCTGTAAAAATCCCAACCCATATCCTTGAGAATCCCAACATCTTCCTGTAACATGTCGAAAGAACTTGTTATTTTTCTTGCACTCAAATTCTTATAAGATCTTCATTGCTAAATTCTTCAAAAAGAATTAACGGTAAAAAAATGTGACTTATACCTTAATGCGATGATATGAATCAACAGCCACATCTCCATTGCTGCGGTCCTTTATTTTATCTGAATTGTTTTATTTGTCCATAAAATATGTAAGTATCTTATAAACCGATTCGGAGCAGACCTTTTTGATTAAAAAAAATTAGCTTTTGAGGTTTGCTCTGCAGAACATTTAAATAAAAACAAAAAACCTAATTGCAAAATACACTCCTGAAACTTGGACTCACTTAAAAAGAAAAAAAGAAAAAAAAAGATGATTTAAAAGAATTCACATAAAATTTCACTTTTAACTAGATATTTGGTAGAAATTAGTGCTAGTTCTATCCTTGGTTTTCACTATGTTAATTTTGTATGGACGAAGATGGGTATGAGAAATAAAATAATTCAAATACCTGGATATTTGTGAGTGAATGTATCCCAAACAGATGGTCCTCTACCCCCTTCCTTTGCAGCACCTTCAAACTAATAAAATTCCCAAACACACAATAAATTAAACCCATCAACCTAATTAGAATTAATTAAACTTGAAAGAAAATATGTATATAGAGATGCGTTACGTACCTGGTAGGCCGCTCCGGCAGCCCCGAACATGAAATCGGGCGGAAAACTGGTCCGGTTGAAGTTCTGATAAGCATCAGATGAAGCATTAGGTTTGGGAGGCTCTGGCTTGGCACTAATTGTGACTGCACAGCCAAGAACGAGCAGGAGGATGAAACCTAACTTAATCATCATGTTTTGATGGTGATTTGTTTATTTGAATTCTAGAGTTAGCTGTTGCCCTTTATATATACTCATACTTAATAGCGGACAAGAATCGTGATAGGATATCGAAAGGCTTAATTTAGACATATGTATGTATGTATGTATGTAATGATGCCAGTTTTAGAATTTGTTTTAATTTGACTCCAATAAGCGCGGTCATTCCGTTGCATACGGAAAGATTTGTTTTACTTTTGACCATGTTCAACCTAGAAACATCACGTATGGTATAGCGAACTGTTAGGGAAACCTAACAAATTAACGATTCAAAACATTTTAATATTGGATAGAACAGGATACATGGAAGTGTTTGATTTTGCTGGTGACATGTCTGTTTCTTTTTTTGTCTTGTTTTGATGCAGATGCCTAACTTTTGAAAATTTAAGATTAAATATTTAATATGCCTTTTAATTCCTAAATAATATATCAAAAATCCTAAAACCCTATAGATCAATATTGTAGTATTCAATTTCAATAAAAAAAAAAGTCTTCCAAATTATACATGAAACGTGATATATGCTCTTCCTTCTATATTTGCTAGTGATCTAGCGAGTTTTTAATTTTTTTTTCCGCAAACAGTACGATATTCATTGATAAGGTAATATAATACATACAATTGAGGATAGGGTGCATACAATGAGCCTCGATAAAAACCTTGTCGGGGATTTCAACCCAGTCTACAATACTACGTTTAACTATTTGCGCGACGAACAAAAGTTGGTCACGTAAAGTGTCATTCCATTGCACAAATGTCTGCTCGAAGAAAGACTTTGAGCGACAAACAATAGCATTGGTGCAAAAACAAGGCGCGACGGTTTAGCCTTCGTCGCACAAAATACCAGGATATAAATGTGGGACGACTAATATTCGTCTCTCGAAACTTTGCGCGACGACAATTTATAGTTGTGCAAGGAAACCTTGTTAGTCACTAGAATTTTGCAAGACGAAGGTATTCGTGGCACAAAAATAATTTTTATTTTTTTTAAATTTAATTTTTTGTTCTGTTTTTTTTTTTTTAATTTTGTAGTAAAATTAAATTGCAATTAAAAAAATGTATGTACAAGGAAGAGAAAAATAATTTATTTAAATAAATATAAATGTATGTACAAGGAAAATATTTAAAAAGTAAGGGAGTAAAAAACTAAGAAAATAATGTGGCGTAATCTACGGGGTCGTCATTAGGAGACGTTTGGAAGGTCTCAAAATTGGGGACGGGCTTGAAGGTCAAAGGGGCAGAGTTGTGGGCATGCTTGGCTTGAGGGGCTTGGATGTCGACGATGGACGAAGATCCGGGAGACGAATGCCGGACTAACTGAGGGCCTGTACAATCTGTGATATTTCACTCTTATACGAGGCGAGCTCAGTCCTAAGGTTGGCCACCTTTGTTGTCAAAGTTGTCTCCTGACTCTTTGACTATGATGATGAAGAGGCTCTAGGTTCCCGTTGCCGAGCATTCCTCATCTCCCTACAATACGTCCCCAGCCTCCGCCCGAGAGTCTGATCTAAGGTCTTTGTAAGGATCTGAAACCCCGCATCCTCTAGGGGATCCATAGACTTGAGCGGAGTCTTGGGAGGAAGTTGGGAGGCAAACTCCTGAAGAACCAACTGCCTATTTTCCATCATCGTCGCCTGTGTAATATAACATGAAAATATTAATAATAACATTCAAATAATAACCATGATACTTGAATGCGTAAGATAATAATTAGAATTGAAGAATACTTATATGAAGTGACTCAACCAACTCATCCCTGGGTCGAACATAAACGTCGCTGAAGACATCAATCTCCGGGAATTGTGAACCCCCTGAATAGAACAAGATAGAAAAATTGTTAGTACGAAAAACAATATTATTGGCATATTAAAAATTGAATATGAAAAACTTTATTATTACATGCCGTCGCGCCTCCATCTATACGAGAAGGGCCTCAAATCGGAAGGTGGAGAAGAGTCTTCTTCTCCCGATTGCTCTTGTTGGCTTTCGCCTTCTTCTGTTAAAAAAAAACAAAACAAACGTATTAGTTCTAATTTAAATGAAATATAAAAAATGTACCACATAGCTGGGCTTTTGAAAATGACTGCAGAGCCACACCTAATTATATCTTCCCGGTCCTCAAACTCCTTCAGGCAACCCTTCTGAAGAGCGACCTGCGGATCATCAAATGTCTCAAAATATTGGTGCAGGTCGCTCTTCCATTGACACGCCCCGATCCCAATATTCCCCTAACACTAGGGTAGGTACGTGCTAGCCAATACCCGAAGGTGACGCAAGCCATTTAGAATGCATGAGAACAAGAATTAAATAGGACTTATAAATTTAATTATGATTAATATGCAATTGAGGAACGTGTTCAGAGCATACAACTAACTAGAACACTAAAAGAAATAATATAAAATTGAATAATAAAAGAATGGGTCATACACCGAGAGGATTCGAAGATGCTGATGCCGAAGTGCCTTGACGCCAGGATTGTACGCCTCGATTCTAAGTCCTAAAGGGACGCAAAACAAACATGAGTGGACCAAGTAGATTGATATATATATATTATTGAAACAGTTATCAACATATTAAACCCCAGAGTTTTATAAAACTAATAACATAATATGAAATAGGTTTCTCCGAAAACCCTAGCATGACATAAAACATCTCATAAAGCATATCTCGTATATAGTGTGCTAAATAGTGGTATCCAAACATAATATCTCCCAGCCTAATGCTAGAACCATGTCTTTCTCGACTTGAAGCCAAATATTATTTTCTCCTAGCCCATTGCCAGCTCCATGTCCCTCGGCTCGAAGCCAGGGATTATTTCTCTCGGCCCGCATCCAACACCAGATCTTCTCCCAGGTGAAATAGTGACCACTAGATACGCACAAAACATTGAACATAAACTTTCCAAACATAGGTACATATATCTCAAAATCATCTTCATAGTATAAAGTCATCCATCATCTATACTATAAAGAAGTGTGTAAAAGCATGTTCTAAATAGTATATCGCCATCCATCATTTACCCTACAAGAATATGGGTTCAATAGAAAATATGGTATTCCAAAATATTCTAAGTAAGCATAATATCTCATCAAACATTTCATAAAATGTAATCAATAAATCATGCTTTTTCATATATGAATTTCTACTATTAAAACATGCATTTTATAAGGGGTTCACTCACATACACTTCACCGCCGAAGAGCCACGCAAACTAGTGAAGATGGAAACACCACAATATATGCACCTAAGCACATAAAGGGTCCAATTAATAAAACTATATTAAAACGATTGAATTTAGGAAAACAGACATCATAAACAGGTCAAGGACGTTGAAATTAGCCTAGGAGGGGTCCTGGATGAAAACTTGAAAAGTCAACGTTGATCGTTGACTGGTCAAAGTCAAAGTCAAAGCTGATCGTTGACCAAGTCAACGGGTCAGTTAAACCGGGTCAAGAGTATTGGGTTGGACCGGGTCAATGGGCTAGAGGCCCTAGGTTCTTGGGCTTGGGTTCTAAGGCCCAAAAGGTTTAGGGTTGTGGGCTTAAAAGCTTACGGGCCGAATCCCTTTGGTCTTTGGCTGAAGACCTGGCCTAACAAAAGGGTTTTGGGTTTAAATAAAAATAAAGGGAAAATAAATAGGTAAAAGGATTTTGAGTTTATGCTTAAGGGTTAACGGGCCCAAGGCTCGACTCTTAAACGGCCCAAATGGCCTGGGTTCATTGAGTTTGGGTCATTCGACCCGTTACTTGTGGGAAAGAGGCCGGAGATTCTAGAGCTCTGATCGTCGTCGTTTGGTCACCATAACTTACGATCTACCTATGAAATTGAAGGCAAAGGTGAGAAGAAGAAGTTGGTACAAGAGGTTTGCCGTGAAATGGTCGGATATGGCCTAATTTGGGCTTGCACATCTACGGCTTGCTGGACTTGGGTTTGGTGTTCTATGGGCACCTCGGAGCTTCACGAAGACAGTGGAGAGGGAAGGGAGATCCTTGCGATGGTGATGGTTGTGGTGCCGTCGCTGGGAAGCCTCTTTGGGTGTGTGGGCATGGGTGTCGTCGGGTTTGGGAGAAGGAGAGTGAGAGTTGAAATAATGAGAGATTCGAGAGAGATCAGGGAAAGAAAGTGAGAGATAAGTGAGTTAAGAGGCTGCCACATGGCAGCATGAGGGAGAAGGGAAATCAAGATAGAGGGTCCGGATTAGATAGGAATAAAGGGACCAAAATGAAAACTTCAAATGCTTTCAAGGAAAAAGTGAAATTACAAAATAAATTTGGGGATGGGTTTTACAATCTACCCCTCTTAAAAGAATTTCATCCTTGAAATTTGAAATAACTTACTACACCGAAAAACTCGAAGATAGGAAGAAGACAATATATATACGTAACGAAGAAATCACGTCGAAGTGGTTGCACGAAAGGGAAAATGCCACACCGTCATGATCGGGTTGCAATGATTCCATCTTTCATGCCTTCAGGCTTATACCTTATTACTGCATCAATGTAAAAGTAGAAGGCATACGTAACGTCATGTACTTCGAGAATAGTTGTGTTTGGGTCGAGTCCTAGCAATAACAAATCCGTAACAACTGCCGTAGATGGGTCTACCTACCCAATTGCTTAACAAACCCAACGAATAAGCCATCAATATCACAGTCTGTAGCCCACAATATCAACAACACATTGTTGTCTCGATAAACAAGTAATAATTTCCCAAGGGTGCACAATTACCATTTTTGCCCCGTAACGAGAGAGTGTACAAAGATCGTCCGATTCTCGCCTCGACCATGCTATCGTACCATTCCAGAGTGCACTAAACAACTATGCTAGAAGTGTTTCAACATCCACGAATTTATGAACAATAAGGTTCCGAAGTAAAGTAGTGAAAAGATGCGTTGAGATAAATAGATGTCGTTGGAAAAGAAACAATGTGATGCCTATGAATTATAGCAAGATGGTGATACAATCCGCTGACCTTCTGTACTAAAACCTTTATCCAAACCCTTACTAAA